ACTTCAGGGCACCCTGAGCCACTGTCACTGCATCTGAGGCACTGAGATTGTTGGGGATGTCAGCAGAAAGCCTCTGCCATGTGCTTGCATTTCTTTCCAGGCTGCTGGAACAGTTTGTTTGAGTGTTGGAAGATTCTTTGCAAAATACTTCCCCACCCCATGTTTTTACACGTGCTCTGCTAACTATGATGAATTATTGGAAAATTAAAATTAAAAAAAACAAAGGAAAAAACAGAGTGAGCTCTAGATTTCTCCAGGATTTTCAAAGTGAAGGTGGTGTTAAAAAGACTTGTTGTACAACTACCCCCAGCTGCTTTACATTTGTAGTGTTTCTTGTTGTAAGAATTCACTTCAAACTGAGGTCTTTCAAAAGCAAACAAAAAACCAAATAGAGTCCTTTAGCTATATATTTTAGCTGTTGACTTTTACATGAATATCCTGCAGAAGATATTTGAGTATCTTCTGATGTGCTCTTGCAAGTTTTAATCTTGTGATATATGTTTTACATTTCCTGTGCAAAAGGACTGAGGGTCAAAGGCAAAAAAAGAGAGGAGATATGTCCATGCTAAAACCCTTTCTGTAATTTAAACTGGAGCTCAAATGCATTGGCTGATAGGAATCACTCTGAATTGACACAAGCAGCAGCTGCATGGGATGAGAGGTTCTGTTCCAAACTCCAGCCTGCCACAAGCTCTGAGTAAAGTAGTAATAAGTAAATCTCCTCTGGTGTTAGCAGTACAAGTGATTAGTAACAGCAATATCTGATGTTCTTCTCACCTTCATGAAATCAGCTTCTTGCAGTGTTCAAGGATTTTTTTCTGGAATATTTTACTTGCAAACAACATGGATCAGTGTGAATAAAGCAAGGTTTTTTCTATCCCTTAAAGAACAACAGTGCCTTATTTCATAGGCTGCTGGAACTCCTTCCCTAATGCTGGATGTTCAAGGCAGCTCTCAAGGAAGCTTTTAATGCTTCCTGAATTCACCAGGGAAGCCACAGGTCTTAGCATGGCTGTACTTGAAACTGTCTGCCAGATGTGTTCATTTCTTTCTACAGTTTCTCTGTTGTGCTCGTGTCTGCTTCCCAGGGACTATTTAACTTTCAAAATTTGGATTACCTGAAGAAGATAAAATGCTCTCTTTTCTTTTTCATAAGAAATTGCAAAAGTTGCATGTATTTAATGAATGTGGAACTGTGTTCTGTAGGCTGCTGCTTAGCTGGGGGAATAACTTTTTTTGATGAATCCCTGTAAGATTTCAAGCAAGTAAATTTGCACACTTATTTTCTTTTAATAAATCCTCTCCCTCATGTGCCCAAGGGCTCCTTTGGTGGCTCAAATCATCAGCATATTCGGTGTTATGCTTCTTGAACCTATTTATTTATTATAAATTCTTGTTGCCCTTGCCAGATGACCCTCACATACTGCTTTGTCTGCCTCCTGTAGAAGACCTCTTTACTATCTTTACTTTAGTTGAAGCACTGAACTAAGTTTTTTCTAATTGTTGCTATCTAATCTTTGCCCTGGAGAAATAAAATTTATTTTTCAAGAGAAATGATCTCTGCAGCCTTACCCAGCTATTGACTGTCTTATCAGACCATGTAACAATGCCAATTCTACCTGCTTCATCAACTATTCAAAGATTAGCACTAAGGCCAGCCTAGTTTATAGACAAAGGCAAGACCAGAATGTATGATCTCATTCCTCTGGATGCAATCCTTGTGGTAATCAGAAAGAGTGAACTGTTGATATGGAAAGGTTAATGCTGTACCCCCTTTTATTTTATTTATTTTAGAAATCATCTATTTTTTATCAAATCTGTGTCTTATCTCATGTCTGCTTTATCAGATCTGCTTGAGTAAGGTACATATTAGAAGCCTCTTCTAAGTTTAATTTCTCCTTCTTGAGAGTTCTGCAACTATTAAAAAAAGATAAATCCTTTTACAAAGCCTGTTTTAGACAAGGAGCATATGCAGAGTTCAGGTGTTAACCACTTGGCAAGAATGCCCTTGAGCACAAAATACTCATCATCTTCAAATTGATCAGTAACCTAAAATAGAGCATTTTAAGATAATATGCCTATTCCTAATTTCTTTTATTCAGTTAAAGGAAATATGTTGGCACAAATTTCCCTTAAAATTGGCTGTTGGCCTTTCCTGATAGTAAACTTTCTGAAATAAATTAACTGACTTCTGTTCATAGACTTTGGCCATTCAAAGAGCTTGATTGTGAAAGGAAGAGATAGGTAGCTATCTAGACCATCAAAATATATGTTTTGTGGTTTCCTTAGCACACACCCTAGTGTGGCAAAAACCCAATGTTGTACAGCTTGTGTTCAGAACTATATAGATGCTGCTCAATAAACTCCCACTAGCTAGTGCTCTTAAGTTCCTTCTCATCACCTCTGTTTCCATCTATTCTGTAGAGGGGCAGAAAAACACCAACACCCCCTCCTTCCACTGTCCAAATACTTAATTTGCTGAATCTTAAATTCTCTTATTTTTCTTTTGAGTACTTTGTACTGCAAGATGAGTATATTCTTCATGTTATGGGACAATATATCTGTTCACAGCCATGTAACAGGAGGACGATGACCGATTAAGGACTGTTAGGCTTCCTGTTGTGCCTCTTTCAAGTTCTTACCTACCTTCCACAGCTTCCAGTTGGTCCTGGCAATTATTCCGAATTTACTCAATAAAAACAAAGAAAGCTTTCCTATATTTGTTTTAAAAACATGAATGTCATTATTGCTGCTTTGTTCTTGATGCCAAGAAGTTCCTCTGTTTATTTTCTGACCCCTTCTCCTCAGGTATTTTACTTGATTCTCTTCCCCCCACCCTGCAACTTGTTTATCAAAAGTTTCTGAAGTTTGCATCTAGGCATCTGAAATTTGACAATTACAAGCGACTAGCATTTTTTTCCTGCTTGTTTGATGTCTCACCTATTCTTGTGAAATCTAGACACTGAAGGAAAGTTTTGGTGCAATTTTCCATTTGTTGTTGTTTTCCTGAGCACTACTGCAATCTTCTTGTCTCTGAGTATGTGAGGAGTAGGAAGCTCATGGAAAAACTGCAGTTGTAGGCACTGAATGTGAGTCTTATGTGCCTGCAGGCTTCCTCCACAATTAAATGTTTAAACTGGTAAAGACGAAATTAAAAATAGACTAGCAAGTCTGTTAGGAAGCCTGAGCAGAGATAATGCAGAGATCTTGTGTTTATAAAACATGTTGGTGAAGATTTATGTCACAGGTTGGTTTCCACCTTAAGCTTTCCAGGCAACTCTATTTCTACCTGTTTATCTTAATTCTATTTCCTGTATCGCTTCATCAAAGTGCTCCCCACCCCCATCCCCAAAGAGGTGTGTGTCCTTGTGTCTTTGGCTTCTGGTAGTTGTCTTGCATGACAATTTGATCTTCCAAGTGCATCATTTCCTTATTCCTAAAAGCAAGGATTTTGAATCTGGAGACCAGTTCCTTGTTGCCAGCACTGGTGTATGGTCGATCTTTTTTTTTCCAGCTTTGTGTTGTATTTCATGTAACTAAGTGTTAAAAACCTACTTCAGCCCTCCCCTTAGCACTCTCCAGCTGTGGTTGACATTGAAATATGTGCCATCTTCCCTTTGCATCAGTTAAGAATGTTTTGACAAGAAGTTTCTAATGCTGTAGAAGTATTTTTGAAATGATGCAACTTCTGCTTAAACCTCACTGTCTCTTTCAGGTTCTGAATACAGGGCTCAAAATGTTCTGTATTAACTGTTAAAAGACACTCTTGGAGACTCTTATAAAAATCCTTGTTTTCTGTGCAAGACAATCCAAGACAGTAGTTTTATAACAATGAAATGAAGAAGGAAACTTAGTATAATAAACTGTAGCATTCATTCATGAATTGAAAGAAAAATTAACCATTTTGGTATAAAACAAAGCTAATGCCTTCTTTTCACTACGGGTTCTATAAGCTTTAAATATGCAACAGCTTTAAGCATAATGTACCTTTTTCATGTTAGACTCCTCTTCTTTACAATCGTTTGAGCAGTTTGGATGCTTGTGCCAGCTCTCAAAAGTGACAACTCTTGACCTGCTGAAAGGACTCAAAGGATTGAGACGAAAAATTTAATTTTTTATCTCTATTACTCCAGAAAAAAGGAACTTCTAGCCATTATCAAAACTGGAGAAGATAGTTCAGACTTTAATAAACATAACAGGAATGAGAAAATCTTGGTATATGCCCTGGCTTGAGAGGAACAGGCTCTGCCTTTCAGTGACATAAACCAATTTTTTTAATGGCTATAATTTTGTTACTGCTCCATTTGAGAAAATTGCACCACTCTGACTTGGTAGTTAAAACTGTAGCTAAGCCAAAGAAGATGAACGTAAAAGTTTAGAGGAATAAATACTTTTGAAATCACATCCCTAGTACAGTAGTAAGGAACTCCTAAGTGCTAGAATCATCTGGAAAAGCATCTCTGAACCTGTAGTCTGCGTTCACTATCTTATCATTGTTCTTTCTGAGCCTCAAGATCTCTTGGGGGTTTTGTTCTAGGTTTGGTTTTGTGCTGGTTTTTGGTTTTTTGTTAAATGAAGTATATTAAATAAGTGCAACATATCTGGAAGGCAATAGATAAAACTGGTATCAACACAATTAAAAACATACATAACAGATTTATTATAAACAAAAGAAGTTCGTGCGAACGGCGAGGAAAAAGGCTTCTGTTTTTTGCAAAATGTCATGACTTTGCAAAATGTAAAACTCACTAAATGTACTCAGTAAACAGTCAACTCAAGCCAGTTATGTAACTGGCTTTCATTTTTCTTCTTGCAGAGTGGAGCTCCAATCTTTGAGTTTTAATGTTGGCTCTTGCACAAGATCTATTTTTTAATATTCTGACATAGCAAGGCAAAGAATAACTCAGCGAAATGGAACCAGAGCTGCAGCACCATTATTCCTGCCTCTGTTAGCTTCTCAGGCCCTCAGTGTGATCTTCAGAAAGCACTGTGGCCCCTACCAGCCATGGGGACTGCTCTCTGCTCTTTATGCAGGCTGTAAACACCAGGCACAGGGTGTTCCTCCAGCTGGGTAAATTCATCGAGGCGGAAGCGAGTTGCCAGTTTGTTCATCATTCTTTTCAGGGTGACAAAGGCTGCGATGACTTGGAAGGCAAGGAAAAGGGCAAAGATGATGTGGACTGCTCGCTCCAGTGGTTGGATTTTCAGCCCTTCATTCAATAGCAAGAAGAGGATTATAGGCAACTGCAGGAGGAGGCTCAGGAGCCAAAACCCAGCCAGCTCGGGGACCTATAACAGGGAGACAGCACCTATTAAAAACCTGACAGCTGGAGATGAAGAAATCCAAAATCTTGTGAAGAAAAAACCTGTTTTTTGAAATTTTTCAAAAGACAGCACTTAACACAGAGAGGCAACATGAGATGGCTTTTAAGCATACTTATATTTTCTGACAAAACAGTCTTAGGAAGTGAGAGGGCTCTCTTCTGAGATAAAACTTCTTGGAATCCAGAAAATTAAGTGGAAGCCAATGCCAAGGGAATAGAAGATGCAAACTGCAACTTAAGAGAAATAAAAATCTCCTCAATTTAGATTAACTTGGTAGACCATTTTATTTACATTCAACTCCAAAAAGCATCCCTGCCGAAATTAATATGCGCATTTAGTAACATACTTTCTCCTGCAGATTGCCCATGTATCCCAGGTAGAGTCGAATGACCTCTATCAGAAAGGACAGGATCATGCTGGTGACCAGGATGAACTTGTAGTAATCTGACAAGAGCAGATACTAGAGGGAAATAAGAGAGTAAAAGTTTCTGCTGTGTTGTTTGTGATTAAATGAATTTACTGTATGCTACTGCAAGCTGACAGTGTTGTATTGGCACACTTTTGAACCTCCAGTTTCAAGGAATTCCCAAATATACCTAACTAACTCCAGTGAGCTGTATCTCATACTAGGAGGTGTTTGATGTCACATACGTTTGCAAACCATTGCTTTGCTTCAAGACTCACCTTCAGATAGAGTGTGACAACTGTGCAGAGCCACCAAAATGGGAAAAAATAAACGTTGAAATAGAGGGACATCTGTAGTGGTAAACTGGAAAGTATTTCATTATCTGTAGAGAGAAAGAAGACTTTATCACTCCTAGTTTGTTCCATACTTACTTTCCATAATTATGACAGAAGGATACTGCCCTGTTAGCTACACCAGGGCATTAATACTCTTGCCAGTCAAATTAAATGTTAAGGAAAATATTTATATTTATCCAGAGGAAAATTTCTTACCCCATCTGGAGTTACACCATTTCTGGGAATCTAATGCACCTTTTGGCTCACAGGACACAGGATTTTTATTACATAGTCATATATTCAAGTTATGTGACCAAATTTTTGATTACCTGGTGGCTTATGGCTTACTTCACCATTTTTGACTGAGGCTTAGCTCAAGTAGTGCTGTCTACTGACATTGCAAAAGTGTTAGTGGTTATTTCATTGCAGGTCCTAAGAGAGTGGCTGAAGTATAAATGAGTACACACAGGATTATTGTTATTTTGCAGATGGCCCTCCTGAGCAAGGACTTACTTCTAGAGACCAAGTTTGCATTGACCATTCTTCATTTTCAGTCTTTACTTAGACATTTGGATGGAAGCCAGTAACTTGTCTAGCTCTTAAGAGGAAACAGTTTCATACATGTGCCAAACTAAAAGTTAGCCTTCAAAGTCTATAGAAAACAAAATGCATTCAGATAATGCAAGGCAGAGAAAAGCAAATATGAAACTCTAACATGCAGGCAGTAAATCCTCTGTTTACCATTTTATAATGGACCTACATGATCAAACCTAAGGAAAAATTTTACAAGGGAATAATTTGTTTTTAATGGGTGGAGCTTTATTTCCATGTTCTAGTTAACTGACACTGCATCCACTTTGCTTCCCAAATGAAGTCTGTAGGCACATCTTCACTTGGTACTATGTGAGCAAGTATAGAAAGTATTCATTGTGATCTGCTTATTTGTATTCAATTCTTGTGTCTGTCATGAACAGTCTCACTGCCTCACTTCCAGCCCCAGAGCCACCTCTCTCCTGACATTGCCTTCTCTTTTCAGATCTTCCAACTGCTCTCATACCTGTCTTGGTTCCACCTCAGTCTGGCATTTCTGTCCAGCCTCCTGCAGCCTGGTACCAGTCTGTTTCAGAAGTCTTTATGCCAGCTGCAAAGGTAGCCATGGGAACTACTAGACTAAGTGGGAAGGGAAAAAGGATTTGGAAAGAGAACTGGAACAGACCTTAAGGGTGGAGTGTGAAGGGCAGTGATTTGTTATACTGAATGAGAAGGTGCAAGACAACATATATATCTTTAATAATTCCATTTTGAAGCATCAACACTTTCTTATGTTTGCAAAGAACTTAAAATCAAAAACACTTTCACCGTCTACCTGTTCCAGCTGTCCTAATGAATGAATCTCTTGAACACCAAGACAACTTTAGCCATCAGCAAAATAGAATTCTAGAATGCTGTTTTCTCTCAAAAAAACCCCCATGACCAACCACTTACAAGTAACTATATATATTGAATAAAAATATAATGGTTCATGGCCATATTTCTTAGAGATGCCAAGAGCTCCAATTTCAATTGTGATAACAATGTTTGGGTATGTTAATTGTTTCATTGACATAGTATTGTTGTTTGTAACTTCTGTGCAAGTTCTAAAACTGTGGGTTTGGATGAATGTTTAGCAATATATGTCCTTTCTAATCCATTTTTCTGTCCCTAAATTGAATTTATGCTTATTTTCTGGGATTTCTAAAATGAACGGAAAAGCCAGACAATATTCCAATGACCAGTGGCTGGATCAACTCACTCCGATATGTATGTGTAAACTGAAATTTCTGAAATCCCAATGTCCAAGAATCTAATGGCACATTTGCAAGTGATTTCAGCGAACTGGATTGTTCGTATAGGAGTTTTCATGATGGGAAACAGAAATTACTTAAGGCTGAAGCTATTCCTGGAGTGTTGCTTGATAAATAAACCAGTAAGTGCTAGCAGTATAACTACAGAAAGAAAATGGGTACTCCTGTCTTGAAATTACTTTACCAGCTTGGAAGGGATTTATCCGTCACAATTAATACAGCCTTTCTCTGTAGACAGACTATGTATATTTCTGCTCTGGAGCTATGCAAAGGGGGCACGTTGGCCTGCAAGTTTCAGGCAATACTGAGAAGGAGAAGAATAGGCCCTAAAAAGCCAGTTAAGTGCCCTAAAAAGCCAGGAAGTGCCGGCTGAGGGAGAAGATGGTGACAATTATTCCTGAGAAGTAATTGTAATAATAATGACCACCCATCCCTGAAAATAATGAACATATATGAGTATTTAGTGTATATAAACTGT